ATATTCACTCTCTACAGATTTTCACCACTAATCACGCTACGCTGTACAAACTTACTTCATTTAATTTCTCACCTCATCACGAAACAAATTTTAAATCTAAAACTGTGTGATCAGAGTAGCATGATTTATTGGTTTTTATTAGTATACTTGATGTGACGAACAGTTATAAATCACTTCGACTAACCTTACACAATGACGTGCACTTTGGACATTGTATATCGATCAAAGCATTTCCACTTCCCAATTGTTGCTCCATATGTAGTGGACCACCACCAACAGGACACTGAAATGCCTTTTCGTTAAATATCACTTGAACACCAATATTTTTTGAACATTGGAACTGAAAGTTTTTGCAATCAAGTTAAGGAACAATCAGTAGATAATTAGTATTAAATTGAATAGAAGTCAGCAAAGAGAATCAGTTTCTAAGAAAATGTCTGTCTAACTATTTGAGAAAAAATCTAAACCACATCAGTTAACAGAACAAATTTTCACCCAGGTGAATGTACATCATTATAAGTTTAGGGTATTGTTAATCGTGTTCATATAAAAGGAAACCACCGATCCCGTTTTCATAACCGGCGCATTTCGGTTCGTTCGGAATATCACAGTACGGCTCAATATCTTGTCCTCTGAGAAAAAAAGAATTTTAATTTTATTGAGATGAAAATTTACTACATTAGCTTAACAGCAATTATATCTACTTACGTCATCACGTAGATAAATCAAGAATGATGACAAATTATTTTGTGTAGATGATACTATACCTACATCCTTGCTTAGTTACTCACTCTCAGACTGATCTTCGTAAATTCAGACACAAATTCGGAGGTGTATTTCAGGGGATTCTCAATGGAGGTAGACATTAGTATGTCGAACAAGTCTAGTGACCATTATGATACACACCGACGGACATATGTCAAAAACCAGGTTCAAAATCAACCAAGGGAGAATACAAATCCTATGGAAAATAGTTATGACTAATGAATATAAACGCTTCAACATGTTACATAGTTGAAGATTCTCACTTTTCTCGTGACGTTTGGAAATTCGGGTATGTTGTCGTCAAGAACACTGAGATTTTGTGATCTGGATCTGACATTTTAAGTAAATGTATTATCTAGATAACTGTTCCTCAACTTGAAGCTTTTCAGCATTGAATCACTTCATCATGAAACACGTGATAAAATTTAGTTACAAAGTGTAACAAATCAGCAACGTTTACAGCTGAGTTGAAGATTATAATTGCTGGACTGTGTGTGTTGAAAAATGTAAACATAACTGATAACGAGATCGAGATCATATGCCGTTCATATGGTTCAACTGTTACTCATACTTGTGAAGCGTTAGGAGAGGCAATTTTTTAGTTGCTTATAGCGACCCACGTGCAATTAAGTTTAGTTCAGTCAAGGTCTTTTGTTGACCTATTTAATGGGCAAAGTCATCCATACTATAACAACCTGTTGTACTGTTATTATTAATGTGCTTGTATGAAATACGTGTGCTTGAACATTGTTTAGCGCCCACGCATGTATTCATTCTGCTAGCTTCATTATTAACTGCTTAATCTATTCGCTGACTCATCCACTTTCCTATACATATATATATGTGTACTTTTGCATCCATTCACTACAACTACTCGCTACTGCTACTGCTACAATCGTAGTTCACTTGCTCATCCAGTTTGCCTCTCTGCTGTCTGGTCCGAACTATCTGCTAAATAAACTGTAGTAGCTGCTTCTTTTTGCCTTCTGATTTCAAACATCGTTGAAGATTATAAGGTAACTGTTCGAGGGTGATTAGCTATCGAAGCACAGCCACTACATGCTCAATATAAATTTTAAAAAGTTCAAGCATAAATACATAACGTGTCTATTTTACCTGCTTTTTCTGTCCTTGATGTATTCATAACAGCTTTTCAACACGAAATCACAACCCAATCCTTTTCCCCATTTGAAATCATCCGCCATAGAATAGTCGACATCGTACATGCTTTAGTGAGCAAAATAGATTGAATAAGACTGTGATTACGAGGGATTGTGGTGTGATGATATTTTGAATATTGATTTGTTATTTGAAATTAATTTAGCCTTCTCTTTTATTTTTCAATACAGGTTGTGAGGTCAGAGGACGTGAAGACTGCAAGTGTTGTAGATCTAGACTACTAACATCATATATAAGGAGAAGTCGTGAGATACTTCCAATGAGTTTGACCGATTGTTGTCTAACTAAGCATGACTAACAAGCACAAACGAATTTCAAACTTGAAAGGCGTTTAGAGAGAATTATTCAAATATGGAAGTATCGCTTTATGGCTTGACCGTAATATAATGGTACTCTACATTGTACAAGTTGAAGTATTCGTCGGTTCCCTTATTACCGTTGGTACTATATTTTTCAGACATTTATTGACCGATCCACGATAGAAACCTATTGAGTCATCAAAGAGTGGGAATAAATAACAGCTCAGAAAATTCGCTTTTTGATGATCCGACCTTGTGAAACTATGCAGCTGTAATTGCGATTAGCTTCTGAGAATAGAAGTTCCAACCAAAACAGATGATTGCTTCGTTATTGTCACACGTGATGAAGGATACTCCAGTGTCAGCGTATTCCAATATTACGTAACTTTAAATAAATGTAAGAATTTTGAACTGTGAACGATCATCAATTCTACTTCGGCGTATTGCCATTCTGGAGTATGAAAGTAATTAACTAGTTATACGAATAATTGTCATTATTAGAAAAAGTAGTTATACAAAAGGTGCATGCCGAGTAAAGTGAAGCCATCATATGTGAAAAATACATTTGAAATTATATCAACGTTTGAAATTTAGATCATTTCAACGTTTGATTGATCGATTTATACCGTTGTTACTGTAACCGTTTTCGAAAGAAACAGTTTTACAGATAATGTTATATTGCTTTAAATGCCTCAGATACGTCTGCTACAAACGTAGCTTGAAGTGCAAGGTCTTATGTAGACTCACAGACAGCCACACAACTTGTCTCTTTGATTCTAAATAAGGACAGGAACACCAATGAAGCTTTATTCATAAAACTACTTCAGTACTCCTTCAGTTTATATTGATTCATGTCTAGAGAAGACAGGTGCAGGAGTAAATAAGGCGTTTTAGTACGTCTTAACTATATTACGTCATATCAGATACATTCCATGTAAACATTTGTGAAGTCTATCACGATTTAATTAATCTCATATTTCTGTAAGATCCATTTTGAATGCTTTGTGTGTATATACTTGCACTTTGTTCCTATTGATCCTCTTAGTTGTACATTGTTAACTTTTCGACTACATTTGAATTGTTAATATTTGTATTTTATTACAGTTTTCGTTTTTACTACACCTTCACTAATTCCCTATGTTTCTTCCCAAACTGCACTTATGTTGTTTTACTTTATACTAAGTCTGAGCGGCAGCCATTTTGGTTGGTTCCTGTTTTTGATTGTTCGACCTGTGTTGACTGGAATTGTGCATTTTGGTTGTGAACTGAAGCACTCTTCCAGAATTGAAAACACTCTGTGTTATAGAGGATAGAAAAATATTTATTTGTGGTGATTGGTAATTTTCTTGCATCCTTTATCAACTTTCTTATTTATTGTAGTTTAGATTGATCAATTGAACAATCATTGGTTGGATAGCTAAGTGGTTATATTTGTTTAGGTAATAATGTACACTTAAATTAATTATAAATTATAGAACCGCTATCTTACCCAATTACTTAGTTTTGGTTTCAAACTGGCGAGGGCGCGTATCTAAAACATCCAGGCAGCTGTCCAGCAGTCAAAACGTAGTTTGGATCTTATAATTTCAACAATTAACACTTACTTTATATCCTCGAAATAAGCCAGAGTTATTCTTGAAACACGTTTTGATTCAAATGGATAAGGTGTCATCAAATCATTCTGATGAAAGTGAGGTGACATTGAAACATTAGGAATAAATCAGTATGGAACTTACATGATTGTGGTTCTTTCATATCACGATTCAAGTCTCACTATGAAAACTAAACGCTCGAGGTTAACTTTTACATGGGATTCCTGCTATATCGTTCAAAACTGCCGTCCTATCGGTCATTTATTTATTTACAAAACGTGTATGGTTTTGTCTTTATGTGCTGCTTCTATTCAGTACCAAAAGCTGTTTAAATATTGACGCTTTTAATTGTATTTTGAAAATAAATTGCATTAACAAAATCCTCAGTGATTTACGGTATTCATGTGTTGGTGCATTTAGACATTAACACCGTTGGATGCCGGCTCAGTGGTCTAGTGGTTAAGTGCTCGCGTGTGACGCCTGTAGGTCCTGGGTTCGAGCCCCGCGTGGTGCGGCTTAGTGGATGTGCACTGCTGATGAGTCCCATACTAGGACGAAACGGTCGTCCAGTGCTTCCAGGTTTTCCATGGTGGTCGAGGTTAAATCGACTCATGATTTCAACCGGTGATATAGATACTACAGTTGGTTTTATTCTGACTTGACAACACAAAATTGCTTCGAATACATGCTAAGTTATTACTTATCAGACTAGGAGCATTTCTTATTTTATGATGCTTTGCTACCGATTTGTGACATCTGAGTTATGTAATGCTAAGTCGAGTGTGTTGAAATACTTAAAAATGTTGCAAACAATCTATGAAGCATCATACGAAATCTGTGAATTTCGAACTTGTTTTCTACTTCAAGTTACATGTTAAACTATCTTTCATTTTATGCACTCAGAACAATGTTGATACTTGTCATGTTTTACTTCTCTACATACTCAAACAACAGTGTGCATACAAACATTTTCTGTATATGGAAAATCAAACATGTTCTACCTGAACAGTATTCAGAGGACAGATTATTCTGCTGGATGAATAACTAACTTCAAAAATCTATGGTATAAGCAAACTCACTCCCATTACTCTGTGACTCAAATGGTTTTTATCCAGCTCGATTCCTTGTAGTTGGCTGCAGTCGAAATGTTCTCTTGCTTCCTTCTTCATTCAGATAAACGATGTGAAGTGTCATTAGGCGTTATCAATAAAAGGTCAATTAATAATGAACGAAAATCATCATAATGTAAACTCAAGTTAGTAATTGATGCACTAAAACAAGAGGCATAAGAAAGAAGCGAGTTGCAGATGAATCTGGTTCAGATGCGTGATTTAGAAGTATTCGTGTTGTTTTCGGATTGAATATTCACCACAAACCAACTACTTAACTCTAACTGTATTGACATTAGTGTGAATTATAATGCTATGGTCATTTTCACTGCATTTGGATCAGTCTGGATTGGCAAATGCTTGCACTGGATTCCACTTCCGGCTATATTCCATCCATTCTCAACAAACTACTGCTACACTTTCCAATCAATTTCGTTATCACCGAATTCCAGTTGAATCAATGACAATGACTTATATAAAACCTCTTCACAAATCTTGAAAGTATGAATGATACTAGTGACGAATTGCAAATGTATGCCGGATAGGGCTAATTCACTTTCTCATTTCTTACAATCATACGTTATTCTACTTACTGAAGTCAGAAAGCATCACAATTCATGATGCCGTACATGCTTTGACATTTCTCAAATAATTTCATCACATTTGTGGCTGTGAACAACGTGTTATGACCCATTGTAATTCCTCGTCTTATAATTACCAAACGACGAGTTGTCTATTGCATTGCATTCCATCCTATATAACAGGATCACAATGCCAACAAACAAACAAGACACACATTTATTAGAAATGAAGTAGAAGTGAACTGACAGGTGTTGTGCTCTGTCGATCATCGAATCTCAGTTTGACTGCACAAGGATAGCTCATAAATTTCACTGAGCCAATTAATGACGCTTCTACGACAGATTAACACCAATATGTTAAAGACATGGGCTTCCAAATCACACACAAATGGACTGAATTAACATCAACTGTGAAGAAAAATCAAACCAAATGCAAAGCAACGCTTGTACATGTATCAAGAAAAGACCCTAGGACATGAACTTTTGTATCTAAAATGTAGTTCATATGAATTGTCGAACAAATCCGACAAACGTTGAATATATATATATATATATCTATATATGTATATATATATGTATATATATATATTACTCGTGGAATCTATGTTTATGCATGTCACCTAGAATTCTTTGGATTTAGTTCGACTAAGTGGAATGTGTTGTTATACTTTCTGAAATTTCTATGCTTGCACCCTTTTTATGTTTCGAACTGCGACTTTCACTTTCCACCTACCGACATAAATAGTTACGTATATCCCTCTAAAGTTAAAATGTGGACGAATTTAAACACATGCTGACAGATAATAAAATCGACAGTTTACAACCACTTTTATTATTACTCACGGAATTTTCGCTGACATCAACTTTTCCGACCCAAAAATTGAAGGATGAAATCCCTTATGAATAAAATAAGAAATTAATGTGATTCAATTTCTTATTCGACTTGTACTCAACGATTAGAGTCTTCAAATGAACCATAAAACTTGTTTTATAAACAGAAATGTTATACAATTCGATTGATATCATGAGCCGATTGATGTTAAACCACCATCGAAAACCTGAAAGGACTGGACGGCCGGTACGTCCTATTGTGGGAATCATCAATAGTGCGCATCCAACACCCTGCTTGTGGGATTCAAGCACGCGACCTGCGTCCTCGCGCACGAACGCCTAAACTCTAGACCACTGTGCAGGCATCCAACATCAACCACTTCATAATCTCAATCAATAATATAATAATCTTCACAGCCCATACTGATAATTTTGTGGTATTTCGATTTTTTAGTGAATTCAAACATTGTTTTATACATTAAATCAACATATCGACATTTTATAATACACCATATAGAAATCGCTTAGTATCTTCTGTCTTTACTGCTAGACTGTACACTATTCGAATGAATTCAGCTTTTCATCAGTTTGAATTGTTTCTTACAGTGAGCAGTTCATATAAATAATGTACAAACTATATGAGCATCATAATGATAGTACGTAGTTATAATATGGTTTCCATATTTGGCTAATTTAGTTCAGAGAAACTTGTGTAATAATTAATAAATTGTGAGAAGTGCAAACGCAATTACACAAATTGTCACAGTTGATACAGAACACAACAGAAATGAATTTGTGATCAAACTAATTAAACAACTGCACTACTCATCGTACTAACCAAATGCTGAACGAAACAAGATTATCTGTACGTCAATGTACGGCGACCATATTTCATAAACTGAAAAGAACTTACAAGTAGACGAGCTAGTTCACGCTTTATTACATTGATCAACTTGTCATCGGATATTGTGATTGAATCTTTCTCAGGCAGACAATAATTCAATACGCCCATAAAAGGCCTGTAGAATTAAACACAAGTATTGGATTACATTACTTATAAAGCTTTAGTTCATTACTAATTATTTTTCCACGAGATATTGTACCGAGGAGTGACGTTATGTGTATGATAAAGGTGAAGATAGACAGTCACACTGAATATAATAAAACTACATTATACAGAAAAAGTGCTTATATCCAGATAAAATAGTCATTCCAAGTGAACGCAACACTACAGAAACGTCATACTCAATCCATCAACATATAACATGAGACATATGGTTTGTCCTGATGCAAGAAAACATCTTGGTGCTACACATACACAGTAACAAGGTGCGTAGATGTGACATATTTTGAGCATTGAATCTGCTGATCCACATTTCATGTTTGATCGGGCATAAGTGGATCCAGTTGATAACACCATGAACGTGATCATATAAGGGATTTCGAGATATCGTTCAACTAATTCGAGATAATTGAGGTGTACTTGTTTGTTCATCGTATCACACTGTAATATTATAATATTGTGTTCTGGGGCTGTTTGATTTCTCTCATCACCGATGGAAATCACCATGACACAAGACGAACCTGTATCAAATAACATACACCAATTTTCCGTTCAAAATGATATCCATTATGATCGAACACCTTGTAAACATAGGTCACCCAATCAAGACTGACTCTGCGTTCAAATTCATCTACAAGGTAAGTTGAAGCCTTCCTAAGACAATCAAACTGCATTTTCTCTGCATTGGGAAGGCCATAGCCATACAGTTTGTAAAACCAGAATTATGTGTACAATGGAGACTGATACAACCTCTTCTTCTACCATGGTCTTAATGTATCAAAATTTTTCGCCTTCATCATACTCTTGTTCCCTTACAGCCACCTGCTTTACCTTCCATCTTCCCTTCAAATCTTCTACCAACAACCGGTTTGTTTTTATTTTCACGATCATTCCGATTACATTTCATCTCTGTTTCAACATTTTATTTTATGCTGAGCCATCCTTACCCGATGAATACTTGAGCCATTTACTATCAAACGATTATTTACTTTCCTTGTTTAAAAAAATTGTTTCTAATACCCCTTTTTATTTAACCTCACTGTCACCATGTATAACAAAAGTTTATTATCAATATTATTATCACCCTGTAAAAATAAGTATATACATTTGCGATTGTACAGCTTTGAAAATGAATTCGCCGAAAAGAGAACTCTTCGCTGAACTAATCTTTCTTTCTTACAAAAGGATATCTACATAGATATGAGGAGAAATGTAGTCAGTCGTTGTTCAGCAAGAAAGGTTTCATAGTAAACAGCAGTTAGTCTCTTAAGTATAGACCTACAGTCATAACATTTTTTTCGTCTTAAATGTTTATTAACGAGACCGTAGGTGACATGCACTTAAAACCCTTGAAAGTATTTTTTGACTGCTTGGAAGCAGAGCACTACTCCGCACCGCAGCATAATTTGATTGATACAACATCCAGTTGATAAGGGAGATATTAAAGTCATCTCCAACTCAGCTTGTACCTTCATTTCACTGTATAGTATAATTTAAGACCTGTGAAGGTTGGCTAATTCAAGAGAAGTTGATTTGAAATCAAATATTGTCAACGAGTGAGTGATATCATACATATATTTAAATGAAAGGGCAGCACGGGAGTAAGTTAAATCAACGCATTCTTTTTACTTGACATTCGTTGCAAGTCAACAGCTACAACATGAGGAATTAAAAATCTTATAGATTTTCATACCAGTTGGTTGTTGATCCAAGTCGGTTCGTTAGAACATTTGTTTTGTTGATCTTATCAAACTATCGGTTAATTTGAACAAATACTCTTTTGTCAATACACATAGTAGATGCTAAAAAATGTGTGGTTCTTTGGTCATTCGTACAAAAAGTGAAACAACATAGGTAATATAAAAAGCGTTACAGTCAATTGTCAACTAAATTTAAGTTCATCACTGCTTTTCTACTTAGAAAACTAATTAGGAATGGAGAAAATCTCATGTTGTATTTAACACTTAATGTCTAATTGTTAAATATTGTACAAATGTTGTTTCCTATTTTATGGTACGATGTGGGTTGTTTGCTTGGTATATAAATAGAGTATGTTTGAAATACAATGATTCATAACTCCGAGGCTGTGACTTGTGTTCTTCACTCAACTGGGCTAGGACGGACAGCGAAGCGGGACCAATCAGGGCACTAGGTCGTCCGTACGTGTTTTCCGTGTCACTGTCACAGATCGCGATCGATAAATACGCTGCGTATCTAAAACCTGCAGTCACACACCTTTAACGTTACAACAATTGGCGACGGGGTAGAGAAAATTTTGAACCCTGTAATTGGACGAGATTCATCCTATTTATTTTGGCCAATCAGCATCCAGATTTGTCATCGGCGTCCTTGGGAGTCATTGGTTAATTGATCACAGTATTTCTCACTACCCTACTGATTCAGAAAATGACTGTCTTTCCCGATCAATTGCAACTACTGCTTGATCGCCAGCAGCAGCGTTTCAAAGAGAGCCAGTTGAATATTTTGGACTATTTACGCACGCGACTGCTAGATCTCCCATGTTTCGGAGATGTGAAAGAAACTGATGAATTCATTTCTCACTTACATACTGAACTCGAGAATGACTGCAGGACATATGAAGATGAAAACAAAAGCCTCTATGAATCCCTTATGATCAGTAATGCAAACGAGGCAGTCGCTCATAATCCGTCCAGCGATCCAGAAGTGCCCAATTCAGAAGCATGCCCTGTTGTGTGTTCAAATCCCACTGTGCCTGAAACATGTGAGGTATCCAGCTTACAAGAAGAACCTCTCGTGCCAGAAAATGTTTCCCGTGCATCACATAATGGTCAGAAATCAAATACAATTTTCGAAGGTGCTGTCTATTTAAGTGACCTATTATCCAGTGATGGAATTCTGGAGAGGTCTGAAGAATATGTTGCACCAAAATCAAACCTTAATGACCTCATGTCTGGTGTCGCTAATCCTCATCATGTAGTCAGTTTTAGTGAACCCTCTACTCAATGCACGAAATATGCTTTAAATAGAGTCAGACTAACTGTTGCTTGGGTATATGAGGACCCAACGTTATTTCGCGGGGGAGGACGGACGCAGAAAATTTTAAAACGCAGATATGAACTCCGCATCTTTCGAAAAAGGGGAGGTGTTAGGTAGTCGGAAAAATGGGACCAATAATTATCATGTTAAGTCCAATGGTGTCCTTGAACCTTAAATGTACATTCTTATTGGTCGATGTTTATTTCACTTGTTAAATATTGTACAAATGTTGTTTCCTATTTTATGGTACGATGTGGGTTGTTTGCTTGGTATATAAATAGAGTATGTTTGAAATACAATGATTCATAACTCCGAGGCTGTGACTTGTGTTCTTCACTCAACTGGGCTAGGACGGACAGCGAAGCGGGACCAATCAGGGCACTAGGTCGTCCGTACGTGTTTTCCGTGTCACTGTCACAGATCGCGATCGATAAATACGCTGCGTATCTAAAACCTGCAGTCACACACCTTTAACGTTACAACACTAATAAACTGAATATTTTCACCAGCTAAATAGCTTACCTCCCAGTGCTTGGATGTGTGACAACACGTGCAGCATGAATATTTGAGCATTTATCACGCGGTGTTCTACTTGAGTCCGTCAAGATTATCAATAACTGATTGGGAGCTATCCCACTGCCTTCTGAATAAATCTTTCTATGTATTCCGTTTTCTTCGTGATAGCACGACTGAAAAGAATATTGGAATATTATGAACGAGATAGCATATTATGTGGTTTGATTCCAATTAGTTTAACTTAAAAGCTCTAGACAATGCTTAAATATCGAACTATACATTACAAGTCTGTTGAGCAGTGTTTACTGGTTGTTGTCATACGGATTTTGAATTCCTGTCATTTAAACTAAGCAAAACTAAACATAACTATAAGGGGTTCACTTCTGAATTGATTAACTGCACAGAACACAGTCAAGACCACATTTTTTAAATTAGCTAACATTAAAAGCTTTCCACCTGAAATATCTAACTTGTAGGTCAAAATAGTATTTCACCAATTCAGAATAGTTGCCCAAATGTTTGCTTTCTTAACCTGTCGAGATGTTCAAAATCAAGTTTCCGCATTTGTAAATTATAGTCTAGTGACGGTTAACCTCATTCTCTATGTTTCACGCCTGCAACATTTCGTATTATAACTTTCCGATCAGATATTTGCCTGAGTTGAGGCAAATCAGGAGTTTCATACATAACATGACGTTTTTTGGTGAGGTAAAACGTCTTTACCGTTGATGACGATAAACACTATTTTCGGGATGTTTTATGAAGTTCGGTTGAAGTAGTGGAAGTGTACCTTCTTCATAATTTCAGTCGTCCACAGAAAACTACTTTAAAAATGAGTAGTTCATGACAGTTCACAAAGCATTCATAAATAATATGTTTCAAATTTGTTGCACATTACGTTTTGCATTGCTTTATCTGGTGTGTGAACATCTCTAATCAAGTTCACTGATAATTTGATGTTCGTAATGTCATGTCATGTAGTTATTACGAACACATTTGTTAAGTTCATTAATATATACATGAAGATCTCTCCTTGTACAAACAATTAACAATCCAATTTGTTTTTATGTTTCATTCAAAAATGATACCTCATTACAAATGAAGACAATGTGATCATGACGATTTTCACAATATATATCATACATATAACAAACGCTGAAGCGTATGGTAGATACCACTTAGCCAGGGTACATGCAGTCCAGCACGAAGTCAGATGCACGCTACATTATATATTCTTGGGCCACGATATTGATCCCTAGGCAGCTTCACCTTCGGAATCTTTTTCACAACTTGGACGTCCTCTTAATAGTCAATTAGGTCATCTTCTCAGTTGGGCGGTAAAGCCACTACAACGACACCAATCCAAAGACCTCACTAAACCATTCAATCGTTAGTAGCGAGGTGAGGTGCGTGCAAAGGGCAGAGACGCAGTTAGTTCAAGCTCATGACTTTCACTTACCAGGAACTCCTCGTTCACGGGGAATAATTGCGATCCTTGATCACGGTCATGATAGTGAGGAAACAGTTTTCCCACCATTTTGTACCGTTATTCACGACTTCTCGGCACCGTCATTGTAGCGCACGTGTAGCCCAGGATATCTGAGGGTATCAGGAATCTGTTGTTGTTCAATTTCGCGTGCCACTTATCCCTCTGAGTAGTGAAAGCCGGCACCGCACCTGTTGGATCATGACCACACTACTCCATACAAAAGCAATAGCCTCAAACGAGCACAGTGGACCAGCCTACTATTTAGCAGATCAACGTCTCGTTCGTTATCAGAATTAACCAGACAAATCACCTCAAAACTAAGAACGGCCATGTATGTCTACATATGTTATGAAAACACATCTTATTTACTGTTACACTTATTTGTTAGGAATCTTTACACCTTGAATGAGTATATGTTTTTTACATTTCGAATTCCGGCAAGATGAAATATTCTTTCTCATTTCTACAAAGTGTTCTTTCTTCGAACATTCTCTTGAAAACAATGAAATTTGTTAAAAATAAAGAAGGAATTAGCGATGGTGGAAAATTGGCAGATGATTTTATCGTTATAGCTTTAACGTGAATATTGTGTAAGTTAACAGATTCAGTTTAATTCATATGTTAATATTTGTTCACAAATTCTCAATATACATGAACTCTATTAGTGGTGTTTTCTCTCTGAACCTCCTTTAAACCATTTTGAAACTGATCCCAAGTGTGTTTTCACAGACTGTATAAATATGTTTTCCCCATTCAACGCTTTATTGAATGATATGAATAGAAAGTTATCTACAAAGTATATTGCATGAAATATTCAAGGATCATGACCACTAATGATGTTAGATATAGGTATTCGTTCAGTCGACATTACTTCAAAGATTTATATATATGTATGTCAGGAAACTTTTTAAAGTGAGGTAGTTCGTTTTGAATTCACCAACTTATCAATTATTATTAACCTTGGCAAATGCACTGGTTTCTCACTGCCTATCTTCACCTTCAGTGTTTTCTCCCAATAACTTGAAGCACTCTGCATTGCTTCCTGTTGACAAGAAAAACACACAAATAATCATTGATAGAAAGTGAATTGATATATTTTCACCAATACCACATTGAACGATACAGTTACATGATTATAAACCATCAAATACCTCCATAACACTTCTGTCAATACCGTATCGCGACCTGGCTACAATAGTGATTATATACATAAACGTTTTTCTATTTCCATTGACTTAAATAACGAGAGAGTTTTCTGCATTCACTGTCATCCAAATGTTGGACGTTCAATCAACTTACTAACATATCACAAAATCAAATACTGAACTATAATCAAAAACAAGACTTACCTTTATTTTCGGAAATGCTTGATTCCGTTGTAAATCTTTATGATAAACTAAGATGATTTGCAACTGTTTATTGGTCAACGATCTTTTCTGTAAAGTTGATAGATAAATATAATATTTTGGAATCAGATTTTTGTTCAGTATTCTCATTGATCACTTACCTGTTGTTCTTGTACCACTTGCTGGTCACGTTTACCATTCACCGATTTCAACAGTACAATACACAGAAGGACAAATATGTATATTTTCATTGGTATACTTCACAGTGAACCACCGTGTATTACTCTTCTGAATGTATTTATAATAGATGATGCCTGTGAACTTCCTACAAATTTTTCACTCTGCATACAGGTTGTATTAAATATTTCTCATGTCCTTGTTTAGTCTCTTTTCTAAAACTGCGCTTACAAATAAACACGATGGATTTGAAGTGTGTGAATAATCAAAGGTCTCTTTTGAGGTAAATCTCTCAACTGAATTTCCACAAAGGGCACAATAAATGCACTTCACATGGCTCAACTTGTGTGTACTCTAGCTTAACGAAACCGTATTTCCAAGTAAATTTTTATTGTTGTACAAATCTCATGCGGTTCTTTCAGCTTCACCAAGATAATCGTCAACACTGAGCCAGCATATATCGTAGTTATAGTAAACAGAAAACATACCTCCCTGAACTAGTATTTAGTGCATGTTGCACGACAATTGGAATAATCAGAATTTCCTAAATCCGTACTGCTTCAATCTAATCTGAACCTGTAAATATGTTGTTGAATGTTAATTCAGTAATTCTATTTTGAAAGTTGTGTATCGACTTGAGAATTCAATGGGCTAGAATAAATATTTAGGTTCAATTGTATTAAAATATCGTGAAATGGAAGCTGGCGTTAATAATAAACAACAGCGTTTTCCAGTGTAATATCTGTGACTATTCGTCAAGATTGAAATAATTATTCTGACAGTGGAAGTCATGAGTGAATCTAAGCTAAACCACCATTGAAAACATGGAAGCACTTGGCAGAACTTTTGTCCTCGTATGAGACTACTCAGCAGTGCATATTCATGCACGTGATTTAAACTGTGAAAATACAACAGTCTCCACAAATCCGCATACTGATTTAAACAGATCGACTGACATATATTTGGCACCAAGTATGAGGAATACCTCTAGTCGAAAAATTTTGTTTGAAGTGATTCAATAATTATGATGAGATGGCTTGTATACATACTTTCAGTGTAGTAATCAAATAAAAATTTATGTATTTCAATTCGCTTGTCGATGATGAAGAGATCACCATCGGAAACCTGTACAAAACTGTCTGGTTTATCTATGATACATTTCGTTAATAACCAGCGTGAACCCGTTCTACATTTATCAAATTCGAAAAATCCAATTACAAAAACACGACGATGGAAATATTAAGAATGTGGGCTTTTCCTCAAGAGACCAACTAGTGATTAAAATGAAAGCTTTCTTGCTGGACAACGACTGACTACGTCTCGCCTCATATCTATGTAGATATCATTTTGAACGGAAAATTGGTGTATGTTATTTGATACAGGTTCGTCTTGTGTGATGGTGATTTCCATCGGTGATGAGAGAAACCAAACAGCCCCAGAACACAATATTATAATATTACAGTGTGATACGATGAACAAACAAGTACACCTCAATTATCTCGAATTAGTTGAACGATATCTCGAAATCCCTTATATGATCACGTTCATGGTGTTATCAACTGGATCCACTTATGCCCGATCAAACATGAAATGTGGATCAGCAGATTCAATGCTCAAAATATGTCACATCTACGCACCTTGTTACTGTGTATGTGTAGCACCAAGATGTTTTCTTGCATCAGGACAAACCATATGTCTCATGTTATATGTTGATGGATTGAGTATGACGTTTCTGTAGTGTTGCGTTCACTTGGAATGACTATTTTATCTGGATATAAGCACTTTTTCTGTATAATGTAGTTTTATTATATTCAGTGTGACTGTCTATCTTCACCTTTATCATACACATAACGTCACTCCTCGGTACAATATCTCGTGGAAAAATAATTAGTAATGAACTAAAGCTTTATAAGTAATGTAATCCAATACTTGTGTTTAATTCTACAGGCCTTTTATGGGCGTATTGAATTATTGTCTGCCTGAGAAAGATTCAATCACAATATCCGATGACAAGTTGATCAATGTAATAAAGCGTGAACTAGCTCGTCTACTTGTAAGTTCTTTTCAGTTTATGAAATATGGTCGCCGTACATTGACGTACAGATAATCTTGTTTCGTTCAGCATTTGGTTAGTACGATGAGTAGTGCAGTTGTTTAATTAGTTTGATCACAAATTCATTTCTGTTGTGTTCTGTATAAACTTTTACAATTTGTGTAATTGCGTTTGCACACTATTGGCGATTCCCACAATGGGACGTACCGGCCGTCCAGTCCTTTCAGGTTTTCGATGGTGGTTTAACATCAATCGGCTCATGATATCAATCAAATAGTATAACATTTCTGTTTATAAAACAAGTTTTATGGTTCATTTGAAGACTCTAATCGTTGAGTACAAGTCGAATAAGAAATTGAATCACATTAATTTCTTATTTTATTCATAAGGGATTTCATCCTTCAATTTTTGGGTCGGAAAAGTTGATGTCAGCGAAAATTCCGTGAGTAATAATAAAAGTGGTTGTAAACTGTTGATTTTATTATCTGTCAGCATGTGTTTAAATTCGTCCACATTTTAACTTTAGAGGGATATACGTAGCTATTTATGTCGGTAGGTGGGAAGTGAAAGTCGCAGTTCGAAACATAAAAAGGTTGCAAGCATAGAAATTTCAGAAAGTTTAGCAACACATGTTTCTGTATGCAGATTATCTTTGGGAACAAGCGTCCATTCACATGTTAATCCTTTTGTTCTCTATCTAAGTGATCAGTAGTTGATCATTGATAAGAGCAACAATCAGACTGATGTGTCGCGTGGGAATATTCGGGCATCAGAAAAAGAGTTTATGACATCTTATTCTACTCATTTCTCAGTTGGAATGCTAAACCTAAATAAATCTCCATTACACAGTGTCTGTTGAAACTATAGACCATTTTCTAATTCCTTTATGAATAAACAAAAATTGGACGATTAATGTAAATTCACCGTTTGATTTCTCATATCCTACTTCTTACAACAATCCAAATACCAATTGAGCTAGACGAGTATATTTCAGGCACTGATTTACTCAGACAGAAGTCAGTATGACAGGTTCGCGACGATGCAAAGACGGAAAGCATTCTAACTCCCTATGATAAAGACGTGATAGAAAATAACCTAATGACATGTGATGAATAACCTACTATACAAAGTTTTGAGTGGATAGCTGACAAGGTCAAAATATGTGTCCAATGCATGGAAACAACATTTGTACAATATTTAACAATTAGACATTAAGTGTTAAATACAACATGAGATTTTCTCCATTCCTAATTAGTTTTCTAAGTAGAAAAGCAGTGATGAACTTAAATTTAGTTGACAATTGACTGTAACGCTTTTTATATTACCTATGTTGTTTCACTTTTTGTACGAATGACCAAAGAACCACACATTTTTTAGCATCTACTATGTGTATTGACAAAAGAGTATTTGTTCAAATTAACCGATAGTTTGATAAGATCAACAAAACAAATGTTCTAACGAACCGACTTGGATCAACAACCAACTGGTATGAAAATCTATAAGATTTTTAATTCCTCATGTTGTAGCTGTTGACTTGCAACGAATGTCAAGTAAAAAGAATGCGTTGATTTAACTTACTCCCGTGCTGCCCTTTCATTTAAATATATGTATGATATCACTCACTCGTTGACAATATTTGATTTCAAATCAACTTCTCTTGAATTAGCCAACCTTCACAGGTCTTAAATTATACTATACAGTGAAATGAAGGTACAAGCTGAGTTGGAGATGACTTTAATATCTCCCTTATCAACTGGATGTTGTATCAATCAAATTATGCTGCGGTGCGGAGTAGTGCTCTGCTTCCAAGCAGTCAAAAAATACTTTCAAGGGTTTTAAGTGCATGTCACCTACGGTCTCGTTAATAAACATTTAAGACGAAAAAAATGTTATGACTGTAGGTCTATACTTAAGAGACTAACTGCTGTTTACTATGAAACCTTTCTTGCTGAACAACGACTGACTACATTTCTCCTCATATCTATGTAGATATCCTTTTGTAAGAAAGAAAGATTAGTTCAGCGAAGAGTTCTCTTTTCGGCGAATTCATTTTCAAAGCTGTACAATCGCAAATGTATATACTTATTTTTACAGGGTGATAATAATATTGATAATAAACTTTTGTTATACATGGTGACAGTGAGGTTAAATAAAAAGGGGTATTAGAAACAATTTTTTTAAACAAGGAAAGTAAATAATCGTTTGATAGTAAATGGCTCAAGTATTCATCGGGTAAGGATGGCTCAGCATAAAATAAAATGTTGAAACAGAGATGAAATGTAATCGGAATGATCGTGAAAATAAAAACAAACCGGTTGTTGGTAGAAGATTTGAAGGGAAGATGGAAGGTAAAGCAGGTGGCTGTAAGGGAACAAGAGTATGATGAAGGCGAAAAATTTTGATACATTAAGACCATGGTAGAAGAAGAGGTTGTATCAGTCTCCATTGTACACATAATTCTGGTTTTACAAACTGTATGGCTATGGCCTTCCCAATGCAGAGAAAATGCAGTTTGATTGTCTTAGGAAGGCTTCAACTTACCTTGTAGATGAATTTGAACGCAGAGTCAGTCTTGATTGGGTGACCTATGTTTACAAGGTGTTCGATCATAATGGATATCATTTTGAACGGAAAATTGGTGTATGTTATTTGATACAGGTTCGTCTTGTGTCATGGTGATTTCCATCGGTGATGAGAGAAATCAAACAGCCCCAGAACACAATATTATAATATTACAGTGTGATACGATGAACAAACAAGTACACCTCAATTATCTCGAATTAGTTGAACGATATCTCGAAATCCCTTATATGATCACGTTCATGGTGTTATCAACTGGATCCACTTATGCCCGATCAAACATGAAATGTGGATCAGCAGATTCAATGCTCAAAATATGTCACATCTACGCACCTTGTTACTGTGTATGTGTAGCACCAAGATGTTTTCTTGCATCAGGACAAACCATATGTCTCATGTTATATGTTGATGGATTGAGTATGACGTTTCTGTAGTGTTGCGTTCACTTGGAATGACTATTTTATCTGGATATAAGCACTTTTTCTGTATAATGTAGTTTTATTATATTCAGTGTGACTGTCTATCTTCACCTTTATCATACACATAACGTCACTCCTCGGTACAATATCTCGTGGAAAAATAATTAGTAATGAACTAAAGCTTTATAAGTAATGTAATCCAATACTTGTGTTTAATTCTACAGGCCTTTTATGGGCGTATTGAATTATTGTCTGCCTGAGAAAGATTCAATCACAATATCCGATGACAAGTTGATCAATGTAATAAAGCGTGAACTAGCTCGTCTACTTGTAAGTTCTTTTCAGTTTATGAAATATGGTCGCCGTACATTGACGTACAGATAATCTTGTTTCGTTCAGCATTTGGTTAGTACGATGAGTAGTGCAGTTGTTTAATTAGTTTGATCACAAATTCATTTCTGTTGTGTTCTGTATAAACTTTTACAATTTGTGTAATTGCGTTTGCACACTATTGGCGATTCCCACAATGGGACGTACCGGCCGTCCAGTCCTTTCAGGTTTTCGATGGTGGTTTAACATCAATCGGCTCATGATATCAATCAAATAGTATAACATTTCTGTTTATAAAACAAGTTTTATGGTTCATTTGAAGACTCTAATCGTTGAGTACAAGTCGAATAAGAAATTGAATCACATTAATTTCTTATTTTATTCATAAGGGATTTCATCCTTCAATTTTTGGGTCGGAAAAGTTGATGTCAGCGAAAATTCCGTGAGTAATAATAAAAGTGGTTGTAAACTGTTGATTTTATTATCTGTCAGCATGTGTTTAAATTCGTCCACATTTTAACTTTAGAGGGATATACGTAGCTATTTATGTCGGTAGGTGGGAAGTGAAAGTCGCAGTTCGAAACATAAAAAGGTTGCAAGCATAGAAATTTCAGAAAGTTTAGCAACACATGTTTCTGTATGCAGATTATCTTTGGGAACAAGCGTCCATTCACATGTTAATCCTTTTGTTCTCTATCTAAGTGATCAGTAGTTGATCATTGATAAGAGCAACAATCAGACTGATGTGTCGCGTGGGAATATTCGGGCATCAGAAAAAGAGTTTATGACATCTTATTCTACTCATTTCTCAGTTGGAATGCTAAACCTAAATAAATCTCCATTACACAGTGTCTGTTGAAACTATAGACCATTTTCTAATTCCTTTATGAATAAACAAAAATTGGACGATTAATGTAAATTCACCGTTTGATTTCTCATATCCTACTTCTTACAACAATCCAAATACCAATTGAGCTAGACGAGTATATTTCAGGCACTGATTTACTCAGACAGAAGTCAGTATGACAGGTTCGCGACGATGCAAAGACGGAAAGCATTCTAACTCCCTATGATAAAGACGTGATAGAAAATAACCTAATGACATGTGATGAATAACCTACTATACAAAGTTTTGAGTGGATAGCTGACAAGGTCAAAATATGTGTCCAATGCATGGTCAAGAATAAACTACCTGGTTTGCCCAAAAGCCAGAATAATCCATGTGGAAGTGACAGGGTAACGGATCATATAAAATATAGTTTTCTAATTAGCCAATGCATGAAATTTACTTCTAGACATTAAAGATTTATTTTGAGTGGAGTAAGTGACAGTTCACAAAGTTCAATCTACATCACTGTATGTTTTTGTTCCAATCCCTAGATCTGTTCAAAACATAACGCTATCTTGGCTATCAACTAAAGGAACCTACAGAATACAAAAGAAAATTCTCAGTCTACCAAAGATGCTGGTACGTTGCATATTTATTTCGTATAAACAGAGAAGCATTTCTACTAAACTGCATCATGTCAACATCTGAAATATAAATACTACCAATGATCGTCATTCTCACTGTGTCGTTGAAAATGACAATTTGGGAAAATGTTTTACTCCATTTGATGGATTCCTTTACTTTACTTTTCTTCACATTCTCTGTGACGTGAAATTTTACTTAGTCGAACTAAATCCAAAGAATTCTAGGTGACATGCATAAACATAGATTCCACGAGTAATATATATATATACATATATATATACATATATATATATATATATATATATATATATATATATATATATATATATATATATATATATATATATATATATATATATTCAACGTTTGTCGGATTTGTTCGACAATTCATATGAACTACATTTTAGATACAAAAGTTCATGTCCTAGGGTCTTTTCTTGATACATGTACAAGCGTTGCTTTGCATTCAGTTTGATTTTTCTTCACAGTTGATGTTAATTCAGTCCATTTGTGTGTGATTTGGAAGCCCATGTCTTTAACATATTGGTGTTAATCTGTCGTAGAAGCGTCATTAATTGGCTCAGTGAAATTTATGAGCTATCCTTGTGCAGTCAAACTGAGATTCGATGATCGACAGAGCACAACACCTGTCAGTTCACTTCTACTTCATTTCTAATAAATGTGTGTCTTGTTTGTTTGTTGGCATTGTGATCCTGTTATATAGGATGGAATGCAATGCAATAGACAACTCGTCGTTTGGTAATTATAAGACGAGGAATTACAATGGGTCATAACACGTTGTTCACGGCCACAAATGTGATGAAATTATTTGAGAAATGTCAAAGCATGTACGGCATCATGAATTGTGATGCTTTCTGACTTCAGTAAGTAGAATAACGTATGATTGTAAGAAATGAGAAAGTGAATTAGCCCTATCCGGCATACATTTGCAATTCGTCACTAGTATCATTCATACTTTCAAGATTTGTGAAGAGGTTTTATATAAGTCATTGTCATTGATTCAACTGGAATTCGGTGATAACGAAATTGATTGGAAAGTGTAGCAGTAGTTTGTTGAGAATGGATGGAATATAGCCGGAAGTGGAATCCAGTGCAAGCATTTGCCAATCCAGACTGATCCAAATGCAGTGAAAATGACCATGGCATTATAATTCACACCAATGTTAATACAGTTAGAGTTAAGTAGTTGATTTGAGGTGAATATTCAATCCAAAAACAACACGAATATTTCTAAATCACGCATCTGAACCAGATTCATCTGCAACTCGCTTCTTTCTTATGCCTCTTGTTTTAGTGCATCAATTACTAACTTGAGTTTACATTATGATGATTTTCGTTCATTATTAATTGACCTTTTATTGATAACGCCTAATGACACTTCACATCGTTTATCTGAATGAAGAAGGAAGCAAGAGAACATTTCGACTGCAGCCAACTACAAGGAATCGAGCTGGATAAAAACCATTTGAGTCACAGAGTAATGGGAGTGAGTTTGCTTATACCATAGATTTTTGAAGTTAGTTATTCATCCAGCAGAATAATCTGTCCTCTGAATACTGTTCAGGTAGAACATGTTTGATTTTCCATATACAGAAAATGTTTGTATGCACACTGTTGTTTGAGTATGTAGAGAAGTAAAACATGACAAGTATCAACATTGTTCTGAGTGCATAAAATGAAAGATAGTTTAACATGTAACTTGAAGTAGAAAACAAGTTCGAAATTCACAGATTTCGTATGATGCTTCATAGATTGTTTGCAACATTTTTAAGTTTTTCAACACACTCGACTTAGCATTACATAACTCAGATGTCACAAATCGGTAGCAAAGCATCATAAAATAAGAAATACTCCTAGCCCGGTAAGTAATAACTTAGCATGTATTCGAAGCAATTTTGTGTTGTCAAGTCAGAATAAAACCAACTGTAGTATCTATATCACCGGTTGAAATCATGAGTCGATTTGACCTCGACCACCATGGAAAACCTGGAAGCACTGGACGACCGTTTCGTCCTAGTATGGGACTCATCAGCAGTGCACATCCACTATGCCGCACCACGCGGGGCTCGAACCCAGGACCTACAGGCGTCACACGCGAGCACTTAACCACTAGACCACTGAGCCGGCATCCAACGGTGTTAATGTCTAAATGCACCAACACATGAATACCGTAAATCACTGAGGATTTCGTTAATGCAATTTATTTTCAAAATACAATTAAAAGCGTCAATATTTAAACAGCTTTTGGTACTGAATAGAAGCAGCACATAAAGATAAAACCATACACGTTTTGTAAATAAATAAATGACCGATAGGACGGCAGTTTTGAACGATATAGCAGGAATCCCATGTAAAAGTTAACCTCGAGCGTTTAGTTTTCATAGTGAGATTTGAATCGTGATATGAAAGAACCACAATCATGTAAGTTCCATACTGATTTATTCCTAATGTTTCAATGTCACCTCACTTTCATCAGAATGATTTGATGACACCTTATCCATTGGAATCAAAACGTGTTTCAAGAATAACTCTGGCTTATTTCGAGGATATAAAGTAAGTGTTACATGTTGAAATATGAGATTATTAAAATTGTGATAGACTTCTCAATTGTTTACATGGAATGTATCTGATATGACGTAATATAGTTAAGACGTACTAAAACGCCTTATTTACTCCTGCACCTGTCTTCTCTAGACATGAATCAATATAAACTGAAGGAGTACTGAAGTAGTTTTATGAATAAAGCTTCATTGGTGTTGCTGTCCTTATTTAGAATCAAAGAGACAAGTTGTGTGGCTGTCTGTGAGTCTACATAAGACCTTGCACTTCAAGCTACGTTTGTAGCAGACGTATCTGAGGCATTTAAAGCAATATAACATTATCTGTAAAACTGTTTCTTTCGAAAACGGTTACAGTAAAAACGGTATAAATCGATTAATCAAACGTTGAAATGATCTAAATTTCAAACGTTGATATAATTTCAAATGTATTTTTCACATATGATGGCTTCACTTTACTCGGCATGCACCTTTTGTATAACTACTTTTTCTAATAATGACAATTATTCGTATAACTAGCTAATCACTTTCATACTCCAGAATGGCAATACGCCGAAGTAGAATTGATGATCGTTCACAGTTCAAAATTCTTACATTTATTTAAAGTTACGTAATATTGGAATACGCTGACACTGGAGTATCCTTCATCACGTGTGACAATGACGAAGCAATCATCTGTTTTAGTTGAGACTTCTATTCTCAGAAGCTAATCGCAATTACAGTTGTATAGTTTCAGAAGGTCGGATCATCAAAAAGCGAATTTTCTGAGCTGTTATTTATTCTAACTCTTTGATGACTCAATAGGTTTCTATCGTGGATTGGTCAATAAATGTCTGAAAAATATAGTACTAACGGTAATAAGGGAACCGACGAATACTTCAACTTGTACAATGTAGAGTACCATTATATTACGGTCAAGCCATAAAGCGATACTTCCATATTTGAATAATTCTCTCTAAACGCCTTTCAAGTTTGAAATTCATTTGTGCTTGTTAGTCATG